TGTATGTGCTTACCTCCATTAAGCCACAGCACTAGTGGTTTTTCATCAGGGCGAGTTGTAGCCTCATAAAACCAATAAAAGAGTGCTCTTCCATTCTTTTCATTCACAGTGACATAGCCAGCGTAATGCCGGAAGTCTACAGCTGGCTGGCCAGGCAATTTAGTGACAATATCCTCATTTCCATACGAGTCCCTTTTCTTCCTACCTGACAATTGTGAGTCGCTAACTCCAGAAACAGGCTGCACTGGTATAGATGAAACAAAAGCCAAAGTGAGGAAAACTGCCACTTTCAACGTAAAATCCATATGAGTACAGACTAAAAAGTTAGGCAAATTGAACAAAGGAGGATGAACATCAAGAACAACAAAAAGTTATCCATTGATTTAATGGTACATGGTACTCATTTAATATTACATCATAATTATAACCTTACAATTATAGCATTGCCATATTGGAAATATCTTAGGGTAAACTACAGGAATAGTCACTCACCCTTATCATAACTTTCAACCTAGTCATTATCCTTTTAAGTTTGAAAATTTAGTCGCCTAATTATGATATAAATTACTATCGTTGGTCACTAATAGCTAACTCACCGTTAGTTAACAATTTTGTTAACTAACAGTGAGTTAGTTAATTTTATTTAATGACATAGCATTAGCTAAGAAAATTATGATTACATTGTGCCTAATTATAATTTTACAAATTCAAGTTTGACCAAAAATAAACCTTTTAGGCAGCCAAAATAAATATAAGGAAACAAACATGAATTTGGGGCTATTTACTTGAACCATGGTCTGCAAAAACATAAAGAATAAATAATTTAAGGTTCAAAACAAAAACAAAAATGTACAGTATATTTTTCTGTTTTAAATTCTAGCAAATTATTATGCCGACTAATTTTTTTTTTTTTGTACTTCTTTTATCAAAAAATAATTAATATTTTTAATTTATAAAATTTATCTGAAAATAATAATCACATTTTTTATATTTTTCATATTATTTCTTGACTTTAATTAATTATCTATCTTATCATAAAAAAGTTTCTTTTTTATTTTTTAATTAATATAAATAAAAATATAAATTTTCATTAAATCCTTAATTTAAAGATAAAATTAAAAAAATATTTATCATTTTGAGACAAAGGGTTATAGATTTGCTGCTAATCACCTAGAGATCTTTTGTGCATACTTATAAAATTGTAATTCATGTAGTCAATATTGTAATTATCTTTTCTTGCCCATGCCATTTCACCGGTCAAAATTAACAGAAGTGCTAACTAACGGTGAGTGATTAACGGTAGCAACTTAAATGAAAGTTAGGTGACTAAATTTATAAATTTAAAAGAAGAATGACTAAGTTGAAAGTTATGATAAAGGTGAGTGACCATTCATGTAATTTACCCAATATCAATTATTAGGCATGATACAAAATCTAATATTTATTCCCTTAAGTAGTTCATTACCCAAATTTTCTAATATCTTTAACATGGAAGATATTAAAAGTATTAGATGCAAGGA